GTGTGTGTGTGTGTGTGTATGTGTGTGTTAGTTTGTTTGGTTGATGTATGTATGTATGTATGCATACATACATATATATATATATATGTGTGTGTGTGTGTGTGTGTGTGTGTGTGTGTCTTCGCGTGTGTGTGTATATGTAAATTTTGATGTCAAGATTATATATATATATATATATGCGTGTGTGTGTATGTGTATGTTTTTTTGCATGTGTCTGTTTTGTTCGTTTCTATACGATAGGCTTGTGGTTCTTTGTATGTTTTTATGAGCGGATCTATATATATATATATATATTTATGCATTTGATTAACGTGTTACTATATGTTCAATTTGTATTGGTAGCAATTTGGGATTTCACTTATATAATATTCTTTTTCTATAGTAGCAGAGAGCTATCAGCGATTGTTAGAGAATTGTTGTCAACCTATTTTAATGCTTCGTATCACCTCTGCCTTTTATTTGTTGGCACAGTGGCCGCTCAATCTCGGAACGTACGCATTTTACTTTTTCCATTTGTGTCTTATTCGTGTATATTTCCTCCCATTTACATCATCCTATCTTTCTGTTTAACTTAGTCTTATTTTCAGCCTATCAATAGATACATGTATGGTATCCTTAATAGCAATTTTTTTGCACCTCGATAGATGAATGAAACACATTATACACATTATACAGTGTGCATATTTTCAGCTGCACTTTGGCGACAGGATTGTAGTACCACACACCCTTTCTTTTGGCAAATGTCAAGTCGCTGTATGACCTGCTGTTGGCCGTTAATCTCCTTATCAAGATGTAATGAAAATATTGCGGACTAACCCTCTGTTGATATCGATTTCAAATCCAATCCCACCCCTACTAAAATAGATCCGAGATGGGCATCTGTAAACCTGGGTGTGTTTGTCTGCGTGGAATGTTCGGGTTGTCATAGAGAATTGGGAACACATGTATCCAAAATCAAGTCCGTGACACACGACAAATGGGATGCGAATCAAATAATGGTACGTCTGTGCGACTTGTGGCTAATCCTGCCAACCTCCATGCACAGCTTTTGTCGCAGTAGTTTTCAGGCGCATCCCCCGGTGTTGATGACATGTGATTGTAGTCATCAACTGTGTAGTCGTCAGAGTTTCCTGCCTCTGGCGTACTGAGATGACTAAATATGGTTTCTCGTTACTGATGATGCCAATATAGTTTTTCGTTGTTTTTTTCATAGCCTGTTACAATATTTCAAAATTACGACTGCAAGCACGTCTAAAAGTTCTCACTATCCAACGGTATAGTATCTCTTAATTACATGCATACTACGGTAGTGTATGTATATACTAATCAGGTAGTATATGTATATACTAATCAAAGCACAGATGCGTATTTAGCGTCATTCCGGGGCGATTGTTTTGCGCATTTTTTTGCATCGTGAATTCTGTACTATCTATTAGGTCGTTTGTGACGCTTCACTCATCCTCCCTCCTTGTGCAGCATTTACAACGTATTGGAAACGAAGAAGTCAACAACATCTACCTCGCGAAACTGCCGAAACATTCTCAATTCACAGCCGGAGATAAGAACCACATATATGCTAAATACGTGCAGAAGAGATGGTTTGATGTAAGTTGCAGTACAATGCAAGCATATGCTGTGTGTTGTCTTTTGTCGATGACAATAAGTATGTCGATGGATGCCTTCTAAGCTGTGCATTAGATCTTGTCTGTGATAGCGATCTTTTTATTACTTCCAAATTTTCGCATGTAAGCTTTCATGTGAATGTCTAGTTTTGTATTATTTCAAGATCATTTTAAGCGTACATGTACGTGAACGCTAATGCCTTTTAGTAAATGTTTATATTCAATGTGTACGTGTATGTGCAAGCGGATTATATCAATCTGTACACCTGTGTATATGTATATGCATATGTAAATGTATGTGTATGTGTACATGTATATGTACATGTACATGTATATGTACATGTATGTATGTGTGTGGGTGTGTATGCATGTATGTATGTATATATATGTGTGTGTATGTATATTTGGTTGTTAAATAATTCTTCTCTAATGACAAAATAATGATATACACACCCCAGGTAAACGGCACTGGTATCAGTTCTATGACCACGGAAGTGGCTAGCGGGAGCAACGCAAACGGTGGCAATACTTCGCGCAGTAACACCAGTAGTGCATCACCCCCATCACTCGCACCAGGAGAACAACAGGAATTGTCGCAGAAGTATTCGCATCAGTTGGTACAGTTACAGGGTATGGGTCTGACTAACTTGGTCTACAACCTGGCTGCGCTTAAGAAAGCTCATGGAGATGTGGGCGCGGCTATAGACGGTAGGTGGTGCGCGTGTTTGCGTTTGTAGCTTGTAGGTCGTGGCATTCGCTAGCTCTCATTCGTTATTACCCGCAGACTATGTGTGGATTGGGGTCAAAATAAGGAACAAATATTCACCCTTCTCAATGACAATCCCTTTATTATTTCTTGTGCAAAATCTTTTTGTCTTTTATCTTGGATCAGATTTATTCGCCAACCCGCCTCCGGAAGAACCTAAAGCACCCGAACCTGCATCGACAGAGAGCAAATCAAAGACATCGACCGCAAACGCTATGAGCACGTTAGAGGGCATGGGCTTCACCAACAAGATTGCTTGTAGTCAGGTGTGTGTGTCTGCGTGCGCCCTTTTTCTGGCGAGAAGCCGGAAGTTGTGCGGAGTTCCAGTGTGTATGTGTGCAGGTCCCGACGAGCCCAAAGGTGCTCAAAATGTGCGTGCGATTTGGATACTGGAAACTATCAAGCCCGAGGGTTTAGGAGAACTAGACCGCGCTCAGTGTATGTTTCGAGAGATTGTGAGAGAAATTTCAGGTCGTCATACCGCCAGAATCATGCGTTTTTGTGTGTGCGCAGTAGGGGATGCAATTTTGGTACAACGTATTTTGGTTTGTTTGTAACTCGAAGGCGGATGCTAGCATATGCTTCACGGGTCAACTTGTATGCGCCTATAGTGTGTGACTGTGCCCATCTGACAGCAAGACCTGCATTCGCATAACAAGTAGAGCCCCGCTATATCACATCAATATATACACGCTTATTCATTTATGAAAGCCCGGCTGTTCGTTTATGGGTTTGAGCCCACACTCGATACCGGCAATCACATCTTGAACACACACTGCGCGATGCTTTGGCTTAAGCTATAAATACGGTTAAGTTGCGCTTAATGTTTGCCGGAAAGGCTCGTTCGATATTTTACTTGTTCACTTTTGACAACAAAACGTTCACGCTTGACATTATGTGCATGACATGTTAAATCAGGCGTTGAGGCAGGCGGATGGTGACGTGCAATCGGCGGCTGAGATTCTGTTGGAAGCGCAAGGCAAGGCACCTCAAACTGACGCTGCACCGCAACAGGTACATAGGCCCTTAAATGCAGTACTTTTGCATCACTTCCCTGAATTTAATGTGCTGTATTACTTGCGCAAGAATGCCTATGGTTTATTGAATTGTGCATATATTACCAGAAATGTGATTGTACATGTTTGTATCTATGCGCACAAATGCCTCGTCCTTTGTGAAGATGCATGTGTATGTCTCAAAATTATGTACTCGTGCGAAGGATTTTTCCTGTTGTAAAAATGACATCTCTAAATAGTTCGAAATTGAATTACTATAGTGCTCTAGTCTTGTGTTTTATCGATGCTAATCTACTTAATTTCCTCATGGATTTATATGCTCTTAAGGCTGCAACGTCGAATGCTGGCATGAACACAACCCCCGCACAACCCATGGATCAATTAGCAGGTAAGTCAATATGCTTGGTGATATAATAAAATGCAGACAATGGGCGTGTATACTAGATAGTTGGCCTTGTACATCATTTGAGCTCATTTGTTTGTCAGTGGATGCGCGTTCGCGCTCCCGTGCCCTGTGCCTAATCGTATATGGTCAAGCTTTATGGAATCAACACTTTCTATTCTGGACATTGAGTCGGTAGTGTATCTTCGTTACTGCCTTCGTTAATGGTTACTATTATGTCAGCAAGGGTCAAGTGTCGTGAAGTTCGATCAGGTTTGTAATTCTCTCGTGCTGTCTTTGTCTTTGGCTACATTTTGGCTTCGAAAAACACAACGCGTCTTTGTATCCTGCACCTCTCCATGTGAAGGCTTAAACAACTCGTAACAGCGTAATGTGCAATAGCGTAATGTAAGCAGGTTTTATGTTGTAACTCGTATATATTTGATTCGTGGAGATAGCTAGTGTCTTGTGATTTTGGATTTTGGATTTGGAAATACAGTTAGCTGCTTTCTCCAATGGCTAAGGTGCTTATTTATCTGTGAAGGTATACGAATTGAACTCGATAGTGGGATAGAAAGATTACGATTCTAGCACCCGACAATTTCTTCTGGTCTGCTAAGAAAGTCTGTATAGTCCGCAGTTTTACGCTTGAACTTGTGGATGGATCTCAAATTTACCAGCCAATGTTTGCTTTTATTTAAAGGGGTCCAGACTAATGGGGATTTTCAATGTTTAACACGGCGATTCTATTTTTATCTTTTTTTTTTAAATTCAGATATATTCGGGTCGATCTCGACGGCCGATACCCCATCTCAGCCCCAATCAGCCCAACAGTACAACTCACAGCCATTCGCACAGCAACAACAGCAACAACCACAACAACAGCAACAGTACCAGCAGCCACAGGCGGCTCAGGCACAGAGCGGCAATCCTTACGTCCAGGCCCAAGCTCAGCAGGTATGGGTTCTAGGTTTTATATTAGGTTTTATATTAATGGGTAGAAAATACTGGAGTCCGATTCCGTTAGTAGTGAAATGCCTATCCTGCACTTCAAACTGTTGACATCTGACGAGTGGCGATATTGCTAATCTATGTGTAATCAACGGAATGGTGTTTCATGGTATAATATATGTCGAATGCGTTTTAAGAACCGGGATTCGTGTAAGGCATCTACTTCGTGCTAGAATTAGAAGCTTTTCACAGTAGGCTGCCCAAAACCCCATTGCTCGCTGTGATAAAGATCACAATTTAGGTCAATACCGTTGGCAATCTTGATACCACATCTATTGTATCACATACCACCAGTTACGTGATCATGTAATGACAATACCACCAGTCACATTTGTATAATATTATCATGTAATATCAATACCATAGTCACATTTGTATAATATTATCATGTAATATCAATACCACCAGTCGCATTTGTATAATATTATCATGTAATATCAATACCACCAGTCACATTTGTATTATATTATCATGTAATGGCAATACCACCTGTATCGTTCTAGCATCAAGCAACGCCATCGCGTCAAGAAAATTCTTGGGCGCAGTACGATCAGCAACAAGCAGCCACTGCACAGCCACCGTCACATGCCACAGGCACACTCCCCGCCACAACATCGCCTGCTCCAAATGGTGCACAATCTCAGGCACAGACACAGTCCCCTTCTGCAGGTATGGAGATTGATGATGCTGTGTGCGTGTAGAAGACGCGAGAGTTTCGTATATGTTTGTGAGTGCGTGCAGAGTGTCTGTGTCTGTTTCTACACATAGACAGGCACACCCCTCGCCACTACGTCGCCCGCTCGAACCGGTGGACAGAGACAGACACAGGCGCCACGCTGCATATATTGATAGGCTCTGTACCGCGCTGGGTGTGAGTACTGAGACAGTGTACGTGTATCACATCGCGCCACAACGTGGCCGCTCGAGTGGGTGCGCAAACACATGCAAAGACCCAGCTGCCGACTGGAAGTATATAGGGCGGTTATAGTGTATGCAAGAGTGTATGATCATGTGCTTGGGTATCTCGTATTTACGATATATCTCTCCACAGTTGCTCTTGCTCGTATATGGGATTGTGGGCATGTATAGATATACCCACATATCTTTTATGTTCCATATTAATCGTATGCGCACTGCATTTGTTTTAGGTGGACTCCCGCCCGCGTTAGTGGCTGAAGGCAGCAGCGACCCACAACCCGCCCAATCTGAAACAGCTGAGGAGACCGCCAAGCGAGCGAACAAGAAGAACACCGCCGATATTATGAGCCTCTTCAGCAATGCTGTTTCGTCCATGCAAACCCCACAGCCACAGTACAACCAACAGTATGGCCAACAGGTCGCTTATCAGGTGCGTTTGTGCTCGCCGCGTTTATTTGTGCGAGTGTGAGTGTACGATTGTATGTGGGAATCCATGAAAATGTCTTGCATTCGGGTTGTATTCTCAATTTGGCTTCTTGTGTTCTGGTGCATTTTTTGGCTTCTTGTGTGCTGGCGCATTTTGAAACAAGTACTACCCTTAGATTAATAGCCGAGTTGAAAAGATCTATTGCTGGATTGTAATTTTCTATATATGAAATTCTAATTTTACACTCATTTTTTTACTTAAATCTTTCCTATTCTCAGCCACAACCGTATGGTCAACAAGCAGGTGGCTACGGCAACCAAATGTATGGAGGGTATGTTATTCTGCCAACATCAATTTACATGTCGATATTTGATTACTGTACGCTTGCCAATTCGATTGTGGCGGATGAATCAATCTACTACTAGTATGTTTGTGCCGCGATGTAGTGAGTTTTCTAAGAATTCGTGAACTAGGTATATCGAGCCTCGGAATGCCCTTATTGGTTTTCCAGATGAATGCTTGACGTGCAGGATTTATAACCTATTGTGACCACGTGCGTGGACTGACATCTCTAAACCATCTCGTATTCTGCTGATAGGTACGGAGGTTACCAACAGGGAGGCTACGGTGCACCACAACAGCAGATGTATGGACAGCCCCAGCAGCAACAGGGATACGGCGGTTATGGCCAACAACCACAAGCTTATGGCATGGGTGGCTATGATCAGCAACAGTCCCAGGTTAGCATTTTGTCCTGTGATTTCGCTGTCGATTATTATTTGAAATTTGGATCGCATTCTTGGCCCGAATGCACCTGCTTTTGCTACAAATGTATGCAATACGCGAAGCATGTATTTATTAGCCTTAATGTAAGTGTGTGTATATACTGATCTGTGCTTGTATGTATGAAATAATCAGTGTCAGTGTTATATACACAATTGTTCATGTAAGCGCACAAAGAAGCAATCAATGATACAAACTTTTTATGTACGGATGCGTATGATTAGACGAATATATAAGCTCATAGTCTGTCTGCTTTCCTTGTCTATTCACTTCCTGTAGAACAATGAGGTGTTCGAAGTAGGGAGCGTAAATATGACCAATTAGATACCACCCTATGTAGAGCATTGATATATTTATAAGCGACTGCTGCGAATCTCTTACTGCAGTCAAACCATACGCGCGGTTTGTGGGTTAAACTGATGTATGTATTTCTCAATGGTGTATATGTTTTATTATCTTTCTTTCTACTTTGCAGCAGCAATACGGTATGCAGTACGGTATGCAGGGCTCCCCACAGCCACAGGCACCTGGTTCGGCTGCAGGTGCAAATGCAGGTGCACCAATTTGGACGCCTCAGCAATTGCAGGGGCAAGGACAGCAGGCACAGAGCGCAAACTCGAACAGGTCGAGCGCGACCCAAAGTAGTGCAAATGGATACGACAATGTCAATCCCTTCGCGCAATAGATAAATCGTCCTCATCTATAACGAAAATTACATTGTGAGTTTCCAATAGTCGTGCGTACTAGTGTTTGGTTTTTGACAGTGCTGTGATGGCGTGTGTTTATGTGTGCAGGTGTTGTTTTAATACCAGCACGTGTTTCTTTCTCGGACATTCCATGATATTGGTCAATATGAAGTGCATAAGTTTTGAAGTCAAGTTTAAACAAGGGCCAAAACAAAGCAGCATTTCCTCTTTGGTGTCGAGCATTGATGAACAGATTCAATAACGCGTGAGAACGGGAGAGTTTAATTAAGTTGAGAGGTTTCTTCGCATGCTTGTGCATAAAATTGAGATCTAAGACGCAGTTTCATAGAAAGTATAGATACTAATGCGTTTCGCTCACATAGTTAGAGCTCGATGTCTACAGCAGACTAGGCAAACTCTTAGAAAATACTTTCACATTGACTAGATGGTATGCGATCTAAATCACTACATCCGGTCGCAACCTATCACGAAGTATTTCCTCAATGAATGAAATGATACATTGTCGTCTATACCTGTTCAGTTTCACTCGATATCGCTGTAGACGTGTATTATCAGACCTTTTCGATGGTGTCGAGGTAATTGCCGCAATCATCGGCAAAGTCCGCATATGTGGTTTGATTTCTATTTTCATTACTAAACAATTTCAACAGTACCACACCTTGGTGAAGTAGACGCGGGTTTAGGTGGCACCACGACTATCAATAAAGATGTACATTTGAGTGCGACTTACTTCGTCAAATAGCGAGGCATGTACTTGCAAAGCTGCTCCGTAGACCACGAACTTTAAATACAACGGACCTAGATGCATTAAATGTGCATCTCTAAAACTGCATTTCTATCAGAGACGGTCTGAAAAGATGAACGCAGCGAACCAGACGAAACCAGACAACATAAGCACTTCCTGCATTTTCACCAGGTTCTATCCTATATCTCATGGCCTCAGTTTAGACCTTTGCTACCCGACTTAAAAGTATAAATTCCGAATCATAATATTCTGTGTATGCGGAGCGTGTGCTTAACAAGTAGATAGACCAAAACCTTAAGACACAGTGAAACTAGACAGTGAAACTAGCTTAAATGGTCACATCCGTGTTATGATCCGACTTCAAGTGTGTTCTCCAAGTTTTGCCAATATGCCATAGGTAAAATAAAACCCCCCATAAATTATAACTTTGCCAATGTTATTTGCGCTCTAGCAAGTTTTGCCAATGTT